CTTATGTTCTTAAGATAGGTCCTCGAGGGGCTGATCCGCCTGCAGCATGATGGCTTGTCTCCGCCTCACCGTTACACATGGTTTCTAGCTGCTGTCCTGCTGCTAAACCCTAGAAGTCTCTCCGTCTCCTCTCTCATCTCTTCTCCCTCCTCCCCCATCTCTTGCTTTATCCTCCTCTCTCTCTCCTTTTGGTTTTTGTTTTTAAGACAGGGTTCTCTGTGTAGCCCTGGCCATCCTGGAGCTCACTCTTTAGACCAGGCTGGCCTGGACTGAGAGATCCACCTGTCTCTGCTTCCCAAGTGCTGGGATTAAAGGTGTGTGCCACCACCAACTGGCTAGAAGCTACTTTTTAAATTTTTTTTTCCGGAGACAGGGTTTCTCTGTATTGTTTTGGAGGCTCTCCTGGAACTTGCTCTGTAGTCCAGGTTGGCCTCGAACTCACAGAGATCCGTCTGCCTCTGCCTCCCGAGTGCTGGGATTAAAAGCGTGTGCCACCAACGCCCGGCTAGAGCTACTTTTATTAACCTCTGTAAGCACAGTATCTACCTGGTAAGTGCCCACGAATGTTTGTATCAATGTCTGCATTTAGCACTGTGCTGCTTGGCCCAAGCCCTAACTCAGAGACTGGGTTAAGCAGTGGTAGCACGGCCTTCAAGATGGTGGTTCACTCCCACAAATCCTTTCTGGGATCTGCAGTGGAAAATTAGAAATGACACAAGTAGCAGGAGAAATGATCAAGAGGGTGTGAGGAACAGACAAGGGGTCACATGCCCCTGCTGGCTTACATGTTTGCGGGAATCTCATAGGTAGGGAAAGAAGTGAGGAAATGACCATAAATGCTCTATGAGATGTAAAATAATCACAGAGGCACATGGTGAATAAAGTTGACTAGTAAGGGGACTGGAGAGATGAGATGGCTCAGTGGCTAAGAGCACTGGCTGCTCTTCCAGAGGACCTGGGTTCAATTCCCTGCACCCACATGACAGTTCACAACTGTTTGTAATTCCAGTTCCTGAGAATCTGACACCTTCATACCAATGCACATAAAGTTAAATTATTAAAAATACAGTTGATTAGTAAGTCTTATGCATTATTACCCATACACTTGCAGGAGACCCTCCGCCATAGCCTCTTCACCCATACACCCGTGTGGGACCCTCTGCTGTAGACTCTTCACCCATACACCCGTGTGGGACCCTCTGCTGTAGACTCTTCATGCTTTTAGGACAGAAGTGATAGTTTTGCTGGACTGAGGTGATGTGTAAGGTATAAGGCATAAAATCTTCCAACTGGGCATTGTAGCACATGCCTGGAATCTCAGCGTCCAGGAAGATGAGGCAGGAGGATTCTGTAGTTTAGTCTATGCAATAAGTTCTAGGTTAGACTGGCCTATATAGTGAGATCCTGTCTCAAGAAATCCCCTCCCTCAAAAGATAACAAAAAAATCAAAATTATTCCTATTCTTTTTATCCCTTGAGGGACACCTGGATAGCTTTTTTAAAATGCAGATCCTAAGTACCTTATCACACCAAGGAGTTCAAGGTCAGCCTGAGCTGTATACGACTGATCTTAGAAACGAAACAATGAAACCCAGGCCTGGTGGCTCATGATTGTCATCCCAGCACCCAGGTGGCTGAGGCAGGAAGTTCACAAGTTCAAGGCCAGCTTGGGTTACACAGCAAGACCAAGGTACTCGAGACAGCGGGTGGAAAGACAATAGTCCTGTGATAAAGTGGCAGTAAAAACAGACAGGGACTAGCAGGTGTGCTGCTCAAAGTAATCGGGTCAAAGTGGGCTTATCCTGGGGTGATGCTGAAGTTGCTGGGTACCAAAGCAGTCTCTGACAGGTCAGGTGCGTCCCTGCAGACGAACTCTGTGTGACTCCCTGTCTCACTGCCAGATCTTTATGGAGACTGCTTGTCGTCTAACTGTATTCGTGTGACTTGGCCCCTGCGAGGGTATTCTACAAGGGGGTTGTGGTGATTTGAATGATCCCCGCCCCCATACACACAGGCTCATGTCTGCTTGGCCCCCAGTTGGTGGAGTTGTTTGTGAAGGATTAGGTGTGGCCTTGCTGGAGGAGGTGTGTTAGTTCTCTCTGCCTCGTGGTTGTCATCTGAAAGATGTGAGCCCTCAGCTGCTGTTCCATCTCTGTCCGCCTGCCTGCTGCCATGCTCCGCACCATGACGGCCCTAACCTCTGGAACGATGGTCCCCAAGTTAAGTGCTCTCCGACATTGCCTTGGACATGGTGTTTTAGCACAGTGATAGAAAAGTAACTAAGAAGCTGGGTGTGGTGGCGCCCGCCTTTAATCCCAGTGTGTTGAGAATGGGAGTCTCCACTGTAGTCTACTCTAAAGGCTTGTGGTTTCAATGCTATTAGAGGCCTGCTTCTCTTGTGAGGTGCCAGGTCTGTGGCTAACAAAGCTGGTTAAAGCCCAGGCAAAGGATGCTGGGATGGGGTGGGCAAGGGACACGGGATGGGGCAGCTGCCTCTGGAAACAGCCAAACTGTCCTCAGCTGCAGCAAGGATAGAGGATTAGGTGACAGTCCCCTAACCTAGCCCGGAACTAACACCCTCCTCCCCTTCACCCAGGCACCACGGCCTGCCCCTCAAGCCTGTCAAAGCTCAGAATAACTCTGAGAACCAGACAGCAGGATGGCAAGGGCTCTGCTGGATGCCCTGCTTCTCTTGGCACTACTTGGTAGGGGAAGCCAACCTGAAGGGACTAGGGCAAAGGCTGAGACCGGGCTGTAGACTGAGATGGTACTTGGTCCCCAGGCGCACTATTGTTGGTTTAGGAGAAACCCAGAAAGATAAACAGGAGGCCTGCACAGGCCCAGGGGCGGAGAGAAACCTCTTAGGCTGTTGCTTCCCGTCTAGTGACTCTTGTTTCTCGGCCTACCACAGGCAGAAGCGAGGGCAAGAATGAAGAGCTTAGCCTGTATCACCATCTCTTCGACAAGTATGACCCAGGATGCCGGCCAGTTAGGAGGCCTGAGGACACTGTTACCATCACCCTCAAGGTCACCCTAACCAACCTCATCTCACTGGTAAGACACCCCCCCATTCCTATGCCTGTACCCTCACTTCTGGCCCTAACTCCTGACTTCAGACAGACTCATTCCTTTTGTAGAATGAGAAGGAGGAGACTCTGACCACCAACGTCTGGATCGGAATTGTGAGTCAGATCTGGGGAACAGTGTGAGGGTTCCCGGCCAACCCCTTTCTTCCTACCAGGTGGGAGATGGAGCGCACACCCTTCTACCCCTACCGCTTAGGACTGGCATGACTACCGGCTCAACTTCAGCAAGGATGATTTTGCAGGCATAGAAACCCTGCGGGTCCCTTCAGAACGTGTATGGCTGCCAGAGATTGTTCTGGAAAACAAGTAAGGATTGGTCAAGACCAGGCTGCAAGGGGAACAGTTTGGGGGGACTTGGTTGGTGGAATGGGTTCAGTACGCTTTTCAATACTGTGAAAAACTTGGTCTCCACAGTATCGATGGGCAGTTTGGAGTGGCCTATGACTGCAATGTTCTGGTCAGCGAGGGAGGCTATGTGACCTGGTTGCCCCCAGCCATCTATCATAGCACATGCGCGGTGGAGGTCACCTACTTCCCCTTCGACTGGCAGAACTGCTCTCTCGTTTTCCGGTGGGGAGTCTCACTTTAAGCAGGAGACTGAGGGGGGGGGCTGGAGCAGGGGACAGGGCCTGATGTGGAGGAGCTCTATGGAAGAGTTGTGTAGGTGGTGGAGTGAGAAGCTAGACCTGGGTCTGCTGTCGGGGTGGGTGCCCAGGTTTCTTAGTGCGGTCTTGTAGTTTTATTCCATAGTCCCAGCTACTCCTCAGGAAGACTCAGAGATGTAAAAATCACCTGAGTCCAGGAGTTCCTTGGACAACATGGCAAGCCCTTGCTGCAACCAAGCCAGACCAAAAAGGAAGTAGAGCTGAGAGCAGATGTGCTGGGGGGTTGTGGATAAGAGCAGAGCCAGATCCAAGCTTCCAGGGCGGGACTAAGGAGGATCCCAGCTTCTGGGGGAAGCCTGGCTCTGTTTCACAGCTCCAAGCTTCCAGGGCGGGAGTAAGGAGGATCCCAGCTTCTGGGGTGAAGCCTGGCTCTGTTTCACAGCTCCCAGACCTACAATGCTGAAGAGGTGAAGTTCATCTTCGCGGTGGACGACAGTGGCAAGGCCATCAACAACATTGAAATCGACACCGAAGCTTTTACTGGTGAAGGGGCTATCCCTTTTTCCAAAACCTTTCCCAGATGAGGCCCAAGGAGGGAACTCAGGCCACACAACTTGAGCTTGCTCTTCTTGAAGTCAGTCTCAATTGTCACACTAGACCCCTCTCTTCACTTGAGGTTTTTCCACACCCTTGCAGGAATACCCCTCTCGGCCCATACTTCCCCATGCTAACAGCCCAGGGTCCAAGTAGTCTACTTGGACCTTGACAGCTGCACCCACCCACTCAGTCTGGAGTTGCAGGTATGTGGTCTGACGTCACCCCATGTTCTGCAGAGAATGGAGAATGGGCCATCGACTACTGCCCAGGCATGATTCGCCACTATGGGGGAGCCTCCGCAGAAGTCCCTAGAGAAACTGACATCATCTACACGCTCATCATCCGCCGGAAGCCGCTTTTTTACATCATTAACATCATTGTACCTTGTGTGCTCATTTCCGGCTTGGTGCTGCTCGCTTACTTCCTGCCTGCGCAGGGTAAGGAGTGACCCGAGTTCTAAACCCCAGGCTGGGCTCGCTCCCTCGGACTCCTCTCACAGCCTGTTCCCTCTAGCCGGTGGCCAGAAATGCACGGTCTCAATCAATGTCCTGCTAGCCCAGACTGTCTTCTTGTTCCTAATTGCCCAGAAAATTCCAGAGACGTCTCTGAGCGTGCCACTGCTGGGCAGGTAACCTCAAAGTGCATCCCACAGAGATGGGGTACCAGCATGGAGGGCGGAGCCAAAGAAGGCTGGCCTAGGGGACTTGCAGTTGTCCTGTTCTGGGCTTTTTATTTGGACACAGGGTGGGGCTGGGACAGTGTTGGGTTATCTGGTCCCCGGTTCTCCTCACTGCTGCTGGATGCCACTTTGAGGTCTCCCGAGTATCTCTGTTGAGAGGTCAGTGTGGCTCAGTATATCCTCAATCCCACCTCCTCTGACCCGTGTCACACCCCTTATTCCGAACGCACCGGATCCCCGGGGACCCCAAGGCCCAGTTGGCGTAGGGTTTGTTGCAGGGATGAGGTGGACCCATGCAAACCACGTCCGCACAGGCATAGCCACGCCCCCTGGATCAGATACCGGACACTTGCGCCAGCTGCTGCTCCAGCTTGCCGAATCCCCTGCCCTGCGGCCAGGGCTACACGAGCCAGCGCCCTCCCCGGATCCCCAGTGTCCGGAGCTGGGCCCGGGCAGCCGTCGCTCCTGTCCAGTAGCTGTAACTCCTGCTGTAGCCACAGGGCGGAGATCTGCATTGGGGGCACAGGGGCTAAAGGTCTCTGGTTTTGCTGGCCTAGCCCTCTCCCCCTTTTCTTCCCATCCCTTAACTCCCCAGGGCTGCACCTCTAATAAGGTGGCGCCAAAGCTCATGATGCTGGTCGCAGCTTCTTTTAGCACCAGCCCTAAGGTGGGCTTTTGGGCGGGCGGCTTATCAGATTCCAGGGGCTCCTGGGACTCAAGTTCTCTGAACCGTTGCAGCAGATACTCGTGAGCTGCGGCCACAGCAAGTTCCAGGGAAGATAGAAGCGGAGGCTGTAGGGCCACCTGGAAAAGTAGGGGTAGTGGAGTGGTCTTGGTCACATGGAATGGGTCACAGCAGCAGGCGCTGGAGACCTCCCCAGATGACGCCTTTGGGTGGGCCATTCTCTTACTCTCACCTCGGTGGAGCTGTGGAAGTGGTAGACCCACAGCAGGGTGTCCAAGTTGCTGGGAGTCCCCTTCATGGCTGCAACAGATGGTAGGTGCAGAAGGGCGGGGACAATACTGGCATCGTGGAGGGGTAGCAAGGCGAAGTAACTCCTCCACTTGCGCGCAGTTGTTTGTGAAGTAGAATGACAGCTAATAGCCTCTCCTGCTATGTGGGATGCTGTGACATCACGCCTCCGGGGTATCTCAGGTATCTTATTTTCGTCATGGTGGTTGCCACGCTCATTGTTATGAATTGCGTCATCGTGCTCAACGTGTCGTTGCGGACGCCGACAACTCATGCCACATCCCCTCGGCTGCGCCAAGTAAGCGCTGGTTGAGTAAAGGGCAGCCCAGGGTGGGAGGCGGGCTTGGAATTTATCTCTGCCCTGGCCACAGATTTTATTGGAGTTATTGCCACGCCTCCTGGGCTCGAGCCCACCCCCAGAGACTCCCCGAGCTGCCTCACCAGCTAGGCGTGCCTCGTCTGTGGGCATTCTGCTCCGAGCAGAGGAGCTCATCCTGAAAAAGCCGCGGAGCGAACTCGTGTTTGAGGGGCAGAGGCATCGGCATGGGGCTTGGACGGGTGAGCACTGCTCTTGGTGGGTCAAAAGCACACACTCGGAGTTGCCGATGCTCTTTCATGACCCAGCACTTGGTGGTGGCGCTCTTTCAGCCGCCTTCTGTCAGAACCTGGGTGCTGCAGCCCCTGAAATCCGCTGTTGTGTGGATGCTGTGAACTTTGTGGCCGAGAGCACACGGGACCAGGAAGCCAACGGAGAGGTGGGTTAGGTTGAGGGGGGAGTGGCCCTATGGCCCTTCCCTCCCTAACGCTAAGCTGTGTCTCACAGGAAGTGTCCGACTGGGTGCGCATGGGGAAGGCCCTCGACAACGTCTGCTTTTGGGCAGCTTTGGTACTCTTTGGAGTCGGTTCCTGCCTCATCTTCCTTGGGGGTTACTTCAACCAAGTTCCTGATCTCCCCTACCCACCGTGTATCCAACCATGAGCCTGCACCAGCACCACCCCCCCCGCCAAAGAAGTTGATTTTGAAAACAGGCTGTACCTCCTGGCTCCTGTGATCCATCTGACCAGTGAGGCTCTGCACAGACTTACACATAGGAACACTGAAGCTACAAGTCTGCCCTGCCTTGCTGGAGCTGCAAAAACTACACACTCAAAGTGCTCCCCAGGGTTACCACCTACGGAGGACGCACTGGCCTTCTCTGTCATGTCTTCTGGGTTTCCTGGCCTAGCACCATCACCTCACTTCATCTCCACAAGACTTCCTCCACAGAGCCTAACACCTCTCCTCCACCCTCTGTATCCCTAACTCTGAAAGCGCTCCCTGGAAAGACAGCATCTAGGATTGAGAGAAAACAATGGTAGATCTCAAAATGGTGGGAGCTGGTTGAATTGTCTTTATTAACAAACGGGATTTCCAAGGCCACTACATTGAGAAAGGATACCAGAGGGAAGGGCTGCTCGCTGCTCACACTATATACAGATGCAAGCAAGGGGGTATGGAGGGTGGGAGCGCCGAGCTCTACCTCCAGGGAAGGGGCAGAGGCTGGGGGAGGGTGGGAAAGGAGGAATGTTTTGGCTGTGGGGTCCCTCCTCCATTCCCTGGGACCTGGGGGTGGGGGAGAGGGGAATCATTAAAGTGCTTTCAGAAAATGAGGACATGGTCCCTGCCTCTGGAGTGGCTAGTGACCCCCCCCAGAGTCTGGTACATTCAAGGGGGGAGCCGGCTCCCCTGTCGTGCAAATAAAGGGGTACAGGGCCCTGCTCAGTCAGCAGCAATGGGGTAAAGGGGTCCAAGCCCCAAGCACTCTCCTCTTAAGTGGAGAAAAGGGGAGGGGCAAGTCCCACTCAGTTCCTGGTAAGGGGAAGCTGTGTCATTCATACCCCACAAGTTGGGGACAGGCACAGTTTTGAAAACATGTTGGGAAAAAAGGATGGTCACGTGATCACAAAAGCTTCAGGGATCAGAGGTCACGTTCCCAGCAGGCTCCAGTGACTCAAACCAGTAAAAGCAAAAGCCCAAGGGGAGGGAGGGGGGCCGGGCGGCCTGGGTAGTCTGGCTGTGGGGAAGACAGCTGGGTCCACGTGGGGGGCCCCAGCTCAGGGGCTCGTCACCAGTTCATGATGCAGTTACGGTTCAAAGTCATAAAGTAAACTTGGCTGCTTCCCCCAGAGCGGACTGAGGCAAAAAACACCTGGATGAGATAGAAAAGCTATCACCAAGGGCTAAAGTGTGTGTCTGTGGGTGGGGGTTCCTCACCTGGGAAAGGGAAGAGGAAGTGAGAGAAACTACAGAGTGACTGGTTTCTTCCCACCCCCAAGGTGTGTCACCCGACCCCTGGGTAAAGGCAACAGAACCCAAGGGAAGGAGGGTAGGGGCTCTGAGGGCTTCCAGAGGGGCTGCTTTGAGGAGAGGGCAGCAGCACTCCCCCAGACCTGCCCAGCACAAGGTCTGGAGAGTCGGTCCAGCACAGGGCTGGGCTCCTTCATGGATACACTGCCTCACCTTATCGTTCCGCTCACACAGGAACTTGAGCCTCTGGGCTCGTTTGTGCATGAAGACCCCATCTAGGTGGCCTGTCTCCACAGAGCGGATCTCAATGGCTTTCTCACCCCAGCCCATTATCTGGTTGGAGCAGATGTAGGCTGAAGGGAGAGGACGGGAGAGAGGCTGTAAGGAGGCTGTGGTCGGGTCCTCAGGGCAAGCAGACTGGGAGGTGGCCCTCACGCACCCACAGAGGTGGGCATCTCGCCCCACTGCAGCACCACGTCCTTGATGATCCGCCCGTAAGTGTTGACATAGACTCCCTCGTCTTCATAGCAGAGCAGCATCTCCATGCCGTCAGTATTGGGGAGGAAGATGATGGCATGGGGTGTGATCTGGCTCTGGATCTAGGGAGAAGAGACGGCTGGTGGGGCTCCCATGTCTGACGTCCACAATGGGCAGGTCCCACACTGCCCAACAGCCCTGCTAAGCTCACGTGTACAGGGATGTAGATGTCGTAGCTGTTCCCAGAGTCAACATCCACAGCATGGAAGCCAGCACTGGAGCCATAGATGACCTTGAGCCGCTGTCCCTCCTCTACTGTCAGGTCTACCAGCAGAGGGCGGTGAGGGAGGTCAGCGAAGGACTGTGGAGGAGAGGAGGTTCAGGGAAGACAGGAGCAGGCGCAGAACCTTGGAATGCACGCAAGGCCAAGCTGCCACTACCTTGAAGGCCATGAACTTGTGGTAGGGTTTGGGAGCCCAGGCATACACTTCCACAGAGTTCTTCAGGGCAATGACCAGGAACTTAATCCGCTCATATTTCACTGGGGGCAGGAAAGAGAAGGACGCAGTGACTTCCGCTGTCAGGCTTTGATGACCTCTGGATGTAGCCCAGATCTCATTTCTCCCTGGCTACTGTGCTGTGGCATCCTCACCGACACGGTAGTGGCCACAGCCCTCCATGTCCCCCACGGTGGTCCACCCTTGCTTCTTCTCCACCTCTGGGTCATTGTGCAGAATCTTATTCCGCAGCCAGGACAGGTAATATACCCGGAGTTTGTTCCTTTTCCCTGAGAGATGAATATACACACACACACACACAAAAAAAAAAACCTTCACACTCATTGAAGGCCCCATTGCTGCTTCCCACAATGTTGTTTGCACACCACAGGGAACGACCAAGGCTACTTTCCTCCCAAACTGAAGATGACAAAGCCAGAGTTGACACGCTTGTCCCCAAACTCTACACACAAACCTGAGATGGTGATGAGCAAGTTGAGCCCTTCCAGCACATCCATTTGCTGGAAGCGTCGCCGCCCAATGAGTCCATACACTTTGCCCTGCCCGCTTCGGTCCAGCAACATCAGCCCATTCTCTGTACCCACCAGGAGGTTGACCCCTGCAACAAGAGTCCTTGGACAAGTCAAGAGGCGGACCCAGGCTCTCCCCTACCAGGCTCATGAAGGAGGCTATTCCCAGACCCCATCCAGCCTTTTCAACCCTGGCTTACCCCAGAGGGCTGCACAGAGGATCTCCGAATTGAATCTCTTCTTGTACTTCCGAATCTCAGGAGTCTCACTGTGAGCCCGGGTGTTGGTGGGATTAACGTTGACCACAGAGCCCTTCCTCACATCGAACTGCAGCTGATCCAGACGACCACCCTCTCCACCTACTAGGGCTGCCAAGATGAAGAGGGAGGGTGGGCTGCAGGCCTCTAGTGTCTATTTTATTCCTATGCTCCTACATCGGATCTTGGTACTCCAGAATTCTCAAAAGGGGGAAGAGAAAGACTTCAGAACAGAGGTGCACAAAGAGATAAAAAAAACAAAAAAACAAAAACAAAACCGGTCTTGAGGCCAAGGCCTGGCTTAAATCCTACCTCTGTCACTCAACACTTCAACTTTTGCCCAGTTCCCTTAGCCACTCTGAGCAATCGTCACTGGGAAGCCCTCCCTTAGCAAGGGCTAAGCCTCAAAAAAAAGAGGCCTGTGCTCGTGGCGCACGCCTTTAATACCAGCACTCAGGAAGCAGAGGCAGGCGGATCTCTGTGAGTTCAAGACAAGCCTGGTCTACAGAGCAAGTTCCAGGACAGCCAGAGCTGTTAAACAGAGAAACACTATCTTGAAAAACCAAAAAATAAAAAATTTTAAATTCTTATTTTCTTTTCTATGTGTTCAGGTATCCATAGAGGCCAGAAAGGGCATCAGATTCCCTGGACCTGAAGTTACGGGAGGTTTTGAGGTGTCCGATGTGAATATTGGGAACCAAATTTGGGTTCTCTGGAAGAGTAGCAAGTACTTTTAACCACTGAACTATCTCCTCAGCCCAGGCTTATACTCTACTGTAAAGCTACATTCCCAAAGAACTCTGCTCAGGCTAGCTCTGGACAAGAACCTCAAGGCAGACAGACCCTCCTGTCCTTACCTGTGATAGGGATGGTATCCCCACTGCCTCCAGGCTGGTAGAGCCCTAGATCCACAAACATGGTGAATGAGCTCTTCCCAGGGGCCTTTACCAGCCCACGAGACTGGTACTGCGGGAGGGGAGAGGGAGCAGTCAAGAGACAGGCATGGCTCTGGCCTGTGGTCCTGTCTTGTACGGGTCAGACCTCAGG